TGAGTGCTTTCCTCTTGATACTGGGGACAGGACAGGATGGCCTCTATCATCACTCCTATTTAATATTGTACTGGAAGTCCCTAGCCAGAGCAATAAAACAAAAAATTCTGAAAAGATATAAAATTATCTCTATTCATGATCATATTGTGAATAGAGATAATTTTACATCTTTATATATATATGTAATTTCAAAGAAAACTTCTGGACTTAATAGAGGAATTTAGCAAAGTGGAAGGGTACAAGGTCAACAAACAAAAATCAGTTAGGTTTCTTTACACCAATAATGAAAAATCAGAAATGGAAATTAGGAAAACAAGTGCATTTACAATAGCATCTAAGAGAATAAAATACCTAGGAATAAATTTAACTGAGGATGTGAAAGACTTATTCAATGAAAACTATAAAACATTGCTAAAAGAAATTAAAGATGACCTAAATAAATAGAAAGACTTTCTGTGTTCAGGGATTGGAAGACTTGATAGCGTTAAGATGTCAGAAGCCCAAAGCAACTGATAGATTCTATGCAACCCCAATCAAAATTCCAACAGGCTTCTTTACAGAATTGGAAAAACCTATCCTCAACTTTATATGGAATGGCAAAAGGCCCCAAATAGATAGAGCAATTCTGAAGAACGACAATGTAGCAGGACTCACACTTCCAGATCTCAAAACATACAGCTACAGTAATCAAAATGGCCTAATACTGGTATAATAATATTAGACACATAGACTGATATAATATAATTGAGAGCCCAGAAAGAAATCCACACGTTTACGACGAATGATTTTTTACAAGAGTGCTAAATCCATTCAATGGGAGAAAGAAATCTCTTCAATAAACAGTGCTGGGAAAATTAGATTCCCATTTGCAGAAAAATGAAACAAGATCCATGCCTTATACCATACAATAAACAAACTCAAAAGTTCACAAATGTAAAAACAAAAACCATAAAATTCTTAGAAGAAAACACAAGGGTAATGCTGTTGGGCCTAGATTTTAACAATGAATTATTGGATATAATAACAAAAGCATGAACAGTAAAAGACAAAATAAATAAATGGAACCTCATAAACATTAAATGCTTTTGGACATCAAAAACCTTTACCAAAAAAGTAAAAAGCAAGCTACTGATTGGGAAAATATTTTGGAAACCATACATCTGATAAGAATCTAATAACTAAAACATATACAAAACTTCAACAACTAATTATCAACAACAACAACAAAAATAACCCAATGAAAAAATGAGCAAAGGACCTGAACAGACATTTCACTGAACAGGATATTCAAATGGCCAATAAACACATGAAAAGATGCTCAATGTCTTTAGCCTTCAGAGAGATGCAAATCAGTATCAAAATAAGATACTATCTCACTACAACTAGCAGGCTAAGATGAAAATAAAATGGAAAATACTAAATGTTGGTGAGGATGTGGAGAAATTGGAACCCTTATCCATTGATGGCGGAAATGCAAAATGGTACCTTCATTGTAGAAAATAGTGTGGCAGTTCCTCAAAAAGTTGAAAATAGAACTACCATATGAGCCAGCAATTCCACTGCTAGCAATAAACCCAAGAGACTTGAAAGCAGCCATGTGAATAGACATACTCACACCAGTGCTGTTTGTAGCACTATTCACAATAGGCAAAAACGTGGAAACAACCTTTTCATTCATCAACAGATGAATGGATAAGTAAAATGTAGTATATACATAGAATGGAATACTACTCACTCAGAAAGACAAATGAAGTTGTGTTGCACACTACAACACGGAACAAGCTTGAGGACATCATGGGTGAAATAAGTGAATCTCAAAAGGACACCTATTGTATGACCTTGCTTTTATAAAAAGACAAAAACAGGCAGACATATAGAGACCAAAGGTTATTAGTGGTTCCCAGGGGCAGGAGGGAGGGGGAAAGAGGGAATTATTGTTTGTGGAGCACTGAGTTTCTGGTCATGGTGATGGAAAATTTGAGTTGATTAAGAGTAGTGGTTGCACAACCAACTAGTGTAAATGATGTCTCTAAATTGTACACCCATCATAAGTTGAAGTGGCAAATGCAGTGTGATGTGTATATATGTGTGTGTGTGTGTGTAATAACAACAACAAAGAGGAGTAGCTACTGAGGCTGCTTATGTACAACAAAAAACTTCATGGATTTGGTTTCTTAGTTCGGGGTTTAGGGTCATGGTCTCAGGGGACATTCCAGTTAATTGGCCTAATGTCTTTTTAGCGCTTCTGTTCTACCTGCTAGTTCGTTGGCTAGTATATGGGGACTTAAAAGCTTGCAAAGTGGCCACCCAAGGTATAACAATTGGTCTTTATTTGTCTGAGGAAACACAGAAAGAAGGAGAGTCAGGAATAAGAGGAGAAATTGGAATATGAGGCTAATCGCCTCCATGAACAACTGCCTCCTTTGCCATGAGATCAGAAGAACTGAATTGTGCCCTGTTACCATTAATGAACGCTTTGATCAAAGATTCTACAGTAGAATCATGATCAAAATGGGGAAAATGTGGAATATAATTTAAAATTATCATAGATCCAGAATTTCTAAAGCCATTGATGCTAGATGAACCCCGAAACTATTGCCCTCAGATAATCTTTAACTATGAAACCATAAACCCAAAATATCCCCTGAAGTCTTCCTTAAACCAAAGAAAAGTCTAGCTTAACTATTAAAAAACTCTGCCATAAGCATTATACTCTTTTAAGTAACTATCTATACGGGATCAAATTGATAACAACTCAAAAAGTTAAATAGGAAGAGTAGGGGGGAACTTTATGTCAATAGGGGAAGAACAAATTAGAAAAGGAGTGTAAGAATGGTTGCACATACTTTGGACAAGTTATCATGAGGGATTAGTCCATGGAGAAGGACATCATGCTTGGTAAAGTTGAACATCAGCGAAAAAAAGGAAGACCTTCAACGAGATGGATTGACACAGTGGCTGCAACAATGGGCTCAAGCATAACAATGATTGTGAGGATGGCGCAGGACTGGGCAGTGTTTTATTCTGTTGTACATAGGGTTGCTATGAGTCGGAACAGACAAGATGGCACTAACAACAACAATGATCATAAGCATCTTTTCATGTCTCTTTTATCCATATTTTTTATTTCAATATTTTATTTTCAGTTTTAGAATTTCTATTTTATATAGTTTTCATTTCTTTGCTGAGATTTCCCATCTGTTCACTAATTATGCTTCTTTTTTCTTTTAAGTCCTTCAACATATTAATCTGCTATTTTAATATCCTTGTATATTGAATCCATCATTGGGTCAAAAAAATAGCTGCACAATTAGAAGAATGTAATCAATGTCACAGTATTGTACATATAGAAAGTGCTGAATTGGTGTATGCTTTTCTGTGTATATTTTCAGCAACAATAATACAAAAAAGAGAGAGACAGTCATCAGGCAGAGGCTGAGCAAGCTCTCTTTAGAAGGAGCTACCTTCAATTCAGTCTTGAAACACTCCCCAGAAAACGTTCTGGGAAACAAGCTCAGATGAAAAAAAATGACTAAACAGATAAGTAAACAAAGTAATAAGAGACAGAGTAAAAAGAATCAACCAGTTCTACAACTGTTCCTACAAAGACGGCAGGTATGGGAAGGCTCAGAAATTTAAATCAATAGATGACATTAAAAATTTGATAAAGAAATAAGAGGCTGTCAAATTGCATAGGGGATTAGAAAACATGATACAAATGTCCAATAAAATGTCTAATAATGCAAAATAACCATTGACATTACAAACTCAGATGAGTTAACAGTCCATTAGACCCTTGGGAGGTCAACAAAGCCAAATTTGACTTGGCTCACTGAAAAGAAAAGACTAATAAACAGGTAAGCGGACAAATTACTAGAAAAAAACTCACACATATATATGTATATATCTCCAAACTGACTCTCAAAGAACTAACTTCTATACTTGTACAGCAATTATATAGAGAACAGCCCGTCCAAATGAGTCTATAGGCATGTATACCAGACATTCAGAGATATCAGCCATTCATGTGTAAGGCATTGGATATTTGTGTTATCAACAAATATAACAGGTTTTTGGTATGTATTATTTAAAGTTTGGATTCCACAAATTGAACTATTCTCTATATTAGAATGTTTTTAACCAACCTAAGAGATCAGTAAAATTTTGCCTTCTGTCTTGTCTTTTTCTAAATCTAAATGTACTGTAAAGTATGTTCATCTCCTTATTTCATCTTTGTCTTCTCACTAAATGTCCAAAAACTTCTGCATGAGATTTGACCAAGCTTGTCAGGCCCCAAATGCAATAATGTTAATTGAATTCTTATGAATCATACATAAGTAGTTATGATTAATACATTTAAAATGAAACATCACAAGTTCAACAGATACATTTATGCATTGACCTTTACTTAAAAATTTATCTTTATTAATAAATAAACAAATAAATTCGGCATTTGATATTTGCTTGTATATGAATTATTGTACTTAGCATTAAGATGTTGTTTTTAAGAATTTGTAAATGATTACTTATTAGCTATGATATCAATAATAAGTAAAATACTGGAAGACAAAATGCTGTGAAAAACTACATTCCACAATCACTCAATGAGACAAATATAAACATATTTACAGAAAAAAAACTGATCTATCTAGAAAACTAATCATCTCGCTTTAAGGTGATTAAATCTAAAAATATCCCAAAATATTTCTGTATACGTTCAAATAGTATGCACAACTCATTAGCATAAGGCTCCTTATGGGATAACGGCTCAACAGAATAATAAATGGTTAGGTTGCACATAGCCTTATTAGTTAGCTACTTGGTAACATTGGTCCTATGTAACAAATTCTAGAGTGAAAACACCTAGATGGCCAACACCAAAACCGTTGTAAATTTTCTCTGTTTGAACAGTGCAGCTACAAACAATCCCATGACTGTCTGCCAGATCCCAGCTCCCTGCTGAGCATCCCCTCACAGTGTCCACACCGCAAGGTACTCACAGCTGGAGAAAATCAGCGGGCATGAGTGCTCATCCATGGGGAAGTTATGCAGCTGTAGTTGGCACTCTGCGTTAATGGTGAGCCTGTGGAAGAGCCAAGTGTTACTCAGGGTCACCAACAACCACCCAGCTAAGCCCATGTGCCAGGCTACAAGGGTGTCATGGTCCCACAACACGGGGATGTGGAAGGCAGCTTGTGGAACTGGTGGACTCTGGGCGGTGGGTGTGCTCACTCAGGAATGCACTCAGATGATTTTGTGTTGTGCTATTGTGTTTTGCTTTTAACTATCAGTAGCAGAGAAAATTCCAAACAGTAAAATTCCAAGCCGCGTCTAGAAACACAAGCCAAGTCAGAGGGGAGACAAATAAAACCAACTATTGTTTTATCAGTAGTTGTTTTCAATTTGTTTGATTGAATTAAACCCTTCTTTCATCGTGAAATCAGTGTAATTGGCTAAATAGGCCTAATGTCAATTTAACTTACTTGTAGGGGGTATTCCATATTTGGACTTTTTCCCCCTTTTTCCCAAGGCAGGTAGTGGCGATTACATTAAGTGTGGCACTGGGCTGCTCTAGAGTAGGTAACTCTGAAGTTTGGAGTTTGTATGAAGCATTCCAGAACCTGCATGTCTCCAGCCTGGGTTTTGCTGAGGCTCAACTTCACTTCAGAGTCCCATCATATTTCCTTAAGAATTGAGGAAAAAATTGATGAGGATCTGTTACAAACTTCTGCTCTCTAAATTTAAATTTAATTCATCAGCAGAGTTCTCTGCTGTGGCTTTTTTGTTTGTTTTTGTTCCCAGCTTGCCAAAATAATTATTTCCCTGAAACTGTAAAATTTTCTAATTTTCTGCTTATTCTGATGTTAACCCATGTCTGTATTTCTGCTACAGATACATGTTTAACATTATGAGTTACAGACTTTTCCTCATGGCCACAATTCATCTGTAATAAAAGCTTAGACCAGCTTATCCCATTATTGGAGGTGCTAATTTTGGATCACATGGCTAAGGTGGTGCCCATCAGATTTCTCCAGTGCACAGTAACTTGTTCAATGTGTAACTAATGAATATGCTATGGGCTGGTAAACTTTAAAGCTGTGTGAGTGTGCTTTTCCCCAACAAAATTATACTCAATGGTATAATTCCTTGTCAGAATTGCATCAGTGATTAAAAATTAAAGATTTTATAATTCTCTCTCTCCTTCCCATTTATTAACTAGCATTCATCTAGATAAAAATAGAGAAACGCTCTCCTCTTTTATTATCATTGTGGATTCTTCTGAAGTGATGTAATGGTTTAAAAATATCACTTATGTGTATTCTTGCAAAAATAATTTAACCTCAATCTGATAATGGGCAAACAGACACAAATCCAAACTGTAAAGCATAGCCCAAAACTTCAGGCCTGTGTTCTCTAAAATCTCTAATCCTGAAGAGAAGTGCTAGGTGAACAGAATTAGATTCAAGAAAACTACAAGGCTTGGGACTGAAGGCACTGCACGATCCTTGGTTGGGCCCTGGAAATTGGGGATGCTTGAATATGGGCTGCATGTTATAGCTTATTGTTGTGCCAATGCTACATTTCTGGGGTAAAATAGTGGTATTGCAGTTATGTAAGAGATTCTCTTGTTCTTAAGGGAAACAGGCTGAAATATTTAGGAATCAAGTCTGCAACTTAATTTCAAAAACGAACAGCAGAAAATGTGGTCACGCGTGTATACGTATGTATATATTCATTTATGTGTGTGCAGCGGGGAGGGGAAGAGAGAAAAAAGAAAGAACACAAATGTGGCAAAATGGTAACTTGAAGAAAAAGAGGCATTTCTTGTTTTGTTCTTTCAACTTTTTTGTAGCGTTGAATTTTTTCTTTTAATTTGGGAAGAAAAGAGAGAGAAAAAAGTCTCAAGAACAATACAATCCCAAAGTGTTATCATTTTTGACAAATACACCACCATTTTTCTCTTACTGTTCTTCAGATGTTCATCACTTTGGGCAAGATGTGCTGGCAGCAGGTCTTCCTGGGTAAACGTGTCCTGATTATTCATTGGGGATGCAAATGTTGGCTGATGCTGCAGGGCTAGGCATGGGTCAGAGCCAAGGATAGGCAGGGAAGATAAAAGCAATGTGGGCACTGCCTTGTGAGTGTATAGCCTGGTTAGGAGGAAAACAGCAGGCATCTAACCAAATACACATATAACTAAGAGTGTGAAAAATGCTTCAAAGGAAAAGAACAGCCTGATAGTTAAAATGGGCAAATGTAATTTAGATTGGGGACTTCAGAGGAACCTTTTGAGGAAGTCTTATCCAAGCCAGGGCTTAAAGGAGGATCTAGGGTTAGCCAGTGAAGAGCTGGAGAGTTTTCCCAGCACAGAAAATGGGGTGTGCAAAGGCTCTAGAAAGAGGGATGGGAGGAGGGATGAAAGAGGAGATGGAGTGAATGCACGAGTTGAACACCCTTAAATACCCAGGAGAAGGCCACTGTGGCTGGAAACGGTATGTGAAAGGAAAGTGCTGGAGCTGGAACTAGAGAGAGAGGGGGACCAGGGCCAGGGTGTACAGAACATCTCAGGACATGTTAAAGCCGCTCAATCTTACTTCAAACACAAAGGGAAGCCCTAATTGACTAAACGAGAGTGGCGTCTGAAACGGGTGTTTAATGAATATCACTCGGCTGCTATAGGCAGGACTGGGAAGGCAGAAAGAAGGGCACTCCCCACATCCAGGGAGGAGGCGGCTTGGATCTGTCTGTGGCAGCGGAGATGGAGAGAGGTGTACAAAATGGTCAGATTCTGATAATGGGCTGGGTGGGGAGATGAGGGAAAAGGAGCACCCATGAGATCTAGAGGAAAGGGTGCTGGTGGTGCTGTCCACTGCAGGATGCAAGGCACAGGTGGAGAAAAGAAAAATATCACACATTCCAGTGAAAGCAACTAGACTTAAGATGCCTTATACCTTCAGCATGGAGATACTTTGCAGGTGTCTCCCTGAAGCTGGAGTTCAGAGGGATGTTCTGGGTTGGATGAAAAAAAAAAAAAAAAAAGATCCCGTTGTCATGGATTCTGACTCATAGAGACCTATAGGACAGAGTAGAACTGCCCCACGGGGCTTCCAAGGAGCAGCTGGTGGATTCGAACTGCCAACCTTTTGGTTAGCAGCAGAGCTCTTAACCACTGCACCAATGTGGAAATCCTCAGCACAGCCCAGGTTTTTACAGTCATGGGAATGGACATGATGAGCCAGGGGGAAAACGTAATGTGAGTAAAGCAAGAAGGACCAAGTCCTAAGACAGAAATAGGAGAACAAGAAACATCAAGAGCAGTAGCAGGAGGCACAGGAAAGAGTGGAAGACAATACTTGAAAAGAGTGGAGTGTGTCCACTACTCACGAGAGGTCAGTGAGATGAAATCAAGTGTCTGCCGACTGAACCACCAGAAGTCTCCGAGCGCTGACTCAAAGGCACTGCTAGGGCGGGGGGTGGGGGGCTGATCCCGAGGCTGGGTAGGCAGAGGGGCTGCTGGTGTGCAGTCGCTGCCATAGGATGCTGTAGCTGTGGATCCAATCAAACTCAGGCGTCTTAGCCAGAAGAGTGTTGAGAAAGACAGACCTAGATCCAAATTCTGGTAACACTAGTTCCCAATGGTGACTTTGGGCAAGTTAGTTCCCTACTTTGAAAAGCAGCTTCTCTTCCCTTGCAGAATCTCTGTGAGAACCAAAATGAACTCCCACTGTAAGGTTCTAGCACTGCCCTGCATCCAGTCAGACTCATCACATGGCACCTACACTACCACTAGTGATGCACTGGGGAATGTGCACTTTTCTCTTTTTTCCTGTGGTTTCAAATTTGGTTATAATTTTATTTGTTAATTTGTCCTCCAAGACATCTTTATTTTCCTAGCTGAGGACTTGTAGATTAAATATATTAAAGATAATTTTTATAGCCCACTTCCAGCAGAGATGAATTCTGATGAAGGAATGAACTTATATTCATTGTAGATCATTTGTATGCCTTTATGTTTACATACTTGATATTACCCATTGCCATCAAGTCAATTCTGACTCATAGCAACCCTATAGGACAGAACAGAACTGCCCCGTAGGGTTTCCAAGGAGCAGCTGGTGGATTTGAACTGCCAACCTTTTGGTTAGCAGCTGAGCTCTTAACCACTGCGCCACCAGGGCTCCATGAAGAATGTCGTTATTGTGTGCCGTCAAGTTGATTCTGACTCGTAGACATTAGGACTAAGTTTTTCAGAATGTTGTAGTATGCCAGTCATGAAAAATGATCAAACTTAATGATAAAAATAGGGTCTCATCCCTATAGTGATCTAACTCAAGAACCCACAATTAGACCATAGGTAATTAAAGATCCACACAGCATCTTACCTTAAAGTGTAGAGGATTTTCCCATCATTCCAGATTCTGAGGAGCTGATTGGGTGTGGTGATCCAGTGGGCCTCTGCAGTCTTAGAATTACGGAAGATGGTATCTGGGATCCATATGAGCCCCACCATGTTGCTATTCAGGGTAAGGATCTTCATTGTGCTGTTGAATCGAAGTCGGCTGTCTGTCCAGGTCTGAGCAAAAAATATATCAATTTGATATTCCTGAAACAAAGCAGAAGAAGGCGGTTCTACTAATGAGTTTTAGGGATGTCTTTCTTTTTTTGTTTTTTCATCAGAAGTTTGTTTTTCCTCCATGTTACACCCTCACCTCCCCACTCACCTTTCTGGGAGCACTTAACACCATGCCCAGCTCAACATGGGAGACATTCGACAGATGTTAACCAGTACTACTACTGATAGTGTGATAACATATGTGAAAATGCTTTGTAAATCTTAAGTTGAAACAAAAACACAAAGTATAATGAGAACCCAAAAGATACAGAAAAATATAATTGAAAGTGTGAATGCAGACCTTGCATTCACAAGCCCAAACTTTGACAGGTAGCCTCAGATCTTTAGTCTGTAAAATGGGGAAAATGCTAGTGTCCACTTTCTAGAGGTGTTATGAAGATGAAAGGAAATGATTAAGCAAAAAACACTTAGTGCTTGGCATAGAGTAAGTGGTCCATAAATATTAGCTCATGTGATAATAACTTTTTTTTTTTTTTTCCAGTCAGGAGCCTCCTCAAACAAAACACCCCAAAACAAAAAGAAACAAAGAAGCTACAACAACAAACAACTATAAAGGCTGTAGCCACCAGAGCCAAATGCTGATTCCAACAGAAGTCTGAAGGACTCAGTTATGGAGTCAAATTCCGAGCTCGGGAAGGCCTCCAGGGCTCACCAGATACCAGGATGGGACTGCTGCTGTCATGGGACTTGAGACCTGTGTCTAGACTGAACACCAGAGAGGCCATTCCTCTAATCACAGTTTATAGGGCCATCATCAGGTTCATGAAATCAAGAGGCTGACTATCAGAGATTTTATTTCTTTCATAGTTTCTGCTATGTCTTAGATATTATAAGTTTACTATTTTATAGAGTGTGAGTTCAGTTATACTCAACCAAATCCAGTATTTATCCTTTCCATAAAGTTTCCAGATATAGAACCTTTCTGAGATAAGCAGTTCAGCTGACTAGCTCCCACCTTTTATTAACTATTCCATTTTTTCATCATTTATTTGGTGCATTGAAGACGCCAGGCCCTAGGAACATCAGCTAGCCAGCACTGTGATGACCAGCCCAGCTCCCACCCTCAGGGACTTACATTCTAGTCAGGACGATGGACACTAAACAAATAGCTAAGGTAAAACCTGCAATATGACTGATGGTCATACATTCTAGGTGGAAAAATAAGGCTGGTGTACCAGTCAGGGTTCTAGTTAGAAATAGCAAAACACTCTCTAATATTCAAAGCAGGAATAGCTGTATTACAGGGAGCCTAAGTTTGGGCAAGGATTGAATGGTCAGGGAAGCAATGCCAGAAGAGCAGAGTTAAAGCAGGTTCTCATGGCAGCCCTTCCAGTGCCTTGGTGAGGCTCAGCAAACACAGCAGGCATGTAGGAAACGTCAGCCTCCAGGAGGGTCCACCTGAAGTCCTCACCTCTAGAGAATAATGGCCTCTGTCTCCTCACTACCTTCTGACACGTGTGCACCTACCTTTCGTTGGCAAGCTCTAAACCCAGAACCACACAGAGCCAGAGTCTAAGAGGAAGTGAGTTTTGTGCCACTCCCTCCCATATATGCCAGCGCAGGCTGACTGATATAAAAATGTATTTAAAACAGTGCTGAGACAAAACTAAAACTAAACCAAAAGTGCATTGCCATTGAGTCGATTCCAACTCATAACAGACCCTATAGGACAGACTAGAACTGCCCCATAGGGTTCTCAAGGATGTAATCTTTATGGAAGCAGACTACCACATCTTGCTCCCATGGAGTAGCTGGTGCGTTCAAACTACCAACCTTTTGGTTAGCAACCGAGCTCTTAACCACTGTGCCACCAATGCTCCTTGCCTTTGTCCTATAAATCAGAAGTAGGGTCAATCCATGTGGAATTGAAAGCTGAAAGCATAGTGGCTCATGTTATGCATGGGTGAAATGTGTGGCAAAATTTGGAAGGCAGGGCATTTGTCTAATGTGTTTTGTTGCTCTTTGGGTAGAGGTTGGATAAAGAATGTTAATTAGCATGTACTGACTACTAGTTAATATGCTTGGTAAGCTATTGAAAAAAGAAATGATCTCAACTGGCCAGTTTGAAAGCGGTTATGGAAGAGAAAAGAAAGATACAGCTAACGTAGGGTCTCCTAGGGTTGGAAGAAGCAGATGTCCCCATTCATATCAGCAAAGCAATAACATTGAGAAACACTGTGAGTGTCAAAAGCCTACTAAATATTAGCTTTGCTGGAATAATCAAACCCATTCCTGAATGGATTAATTTGCCACCCTGTAAAATCTTTAATTGTACAGATGTGGCTTAAGGAAAAGAGACTACTAAATGTGGCTCTTCTGCTAAAACCTGATAGGGCTAAGGTGCCTGCACTTAGTTTAAGAGTCATTGTTGTTATCTGCTTCGGGTTGGTCCCAGACTCATGGTGACCCATGCACAATGAACGAAAAACTACCAAGTCCTGCACCATCACCAGGATTGGTTCCTTGTAATCCATAGAGTTTTCATTGCCTGATTTTCTGAAGTAAATCGCCTGGCTTTTCTTTACAGCTTGTTTTATTCTGGAAGCTCCACTGAAATCTGTTCAGCATTATAGCAGCATGTAAGCCTGCACTGACAGATGGGTGGTGGCTGCACATGTGGTGCATTGGCCAGGAATCGAACCTGGGTCTCTCACATGGTAGGTGGGAAATCTACCACTAATGCACCTGAACTCCGTTGCCATGGAGTCAATTCTGACTCATAGTGACCCTATAGGACAGAGTAGAACTGCCCCATAGGGTTTCCAAGAATGCCACATCTTTCTCCTGAGGTGGGTTCAAACTATCAGCCTTTCTGCTAGCAGCCGAGTGCTTAACCACTGTACCACAAAGGCTCCAATGAAGCATCACTGCCCACTAATTTAAAAAGATAGTAAAACTGACAGCAAGGGAGGAAGTGAGGTGAGGAAGAGAGGAGGAAAGGAGAGGGAGAGAGAGAGAGGAAGCAAAGGAAGGAAGAAGAGAGAGAGGGAAGGAAGGGCGGAGGAAGGATGTGGGGCACTGCCATGCAACAGTAGAGGCAAGGAGCCACCCTGGGAGCAGAACTGGAGCCTTCTCCGAGAGGACTCCCCACCCCAGAGACAGGGCTCTGCAGTGGGCTGCAGAATTGCTGCAGACTAGTTGCTAGTGACTGTGGTGGTCCTGGCTCTTTTCCATCACTTTATGTAAAGTGCATGTGCAGGGTGGAGAGGGCTTAGATGGATTTTCCTTAGTTTATAGGTTGGCAGACCAAGGAAAGTCGGGTCCAAACTTGATTTAGAGACTAGCACCCATGCTTATGACTTTGACTTAGGGCTGTGACTAGACTGGCCTTTTGGTTTGTTGTCTCCCTTGAAAAGGGGATAAGTGTATTTTTTCTGATGGGGGGGGTTAGATAAATATCTGGTGGCTGCATACAGATCATGGTGGTCCTTAGTGGTGTTTGCCTAATATTGCAGCTTCCCCTCTTTAGGATAAATGGTGGAATTGCTCCCTCCCACCTCACTGTGGGGCTGGGTGTGGCCATCACACTGTGATAAGGTGAAATACAGCAGGGTGGTAGGTGTTAATCCTGGGACGGGCTTGAGGAGCAGGTATGGACCCCGAGAGAGTGTGTGGACCAGAGCCCCTGCTGACTCACCCTGGACACAGATTACAGGTGAGAAATTACCCCATGGACACTGAAGGGTGGTTGGTAAGAGAAGCAAACCCTGGCCTGTCCTGACTGGTACGGTGGGGAAAAAGGGAAGGGTGCTGTGATTTTACGAGGGGGAGCGAGACAGCCTCACTGAGAAGGTGACTTTCCAGCCAAGACCTCGGTGAGGTGCAGGAGTGAGCCAGGGGAACGAAAGCCCTGAGAAGTGGAAGCAGCCGGCCTGAAAGCTTGTGCTGTGCGGAATAGACAGAAGGAAGCATGCAACCCCTCCCACCTTGACTTCAGGATGATGATTCATGACTGAGTGGGTAACATGCTATGTTTCCACAATAGTTTCAATAAAAAATTGGGAATCCCTGGGTGCCGCAAACAGTAAAAATGCTCAGCTGCTAACAGAAAGGTTGGTGGTTTGAGTGCTCTCAGAGGCAGCTCAGAAGAAAGGCCTGGAGATCCACTTCTGAAAATCATGGGGTCACCATGAGTCAAAGTTGACTCGACAGCAACTGGTTTACTTTTGCAACAAGGGCGTGACAGAAGACTTCATCATATGTCCCATCTTCAGCTGCTGGTGGGAACTTTGATATGTTTGAGCTCTGCGTGAAGTGCACAGAACCTGTCCCTGTGGCGGCAGTGTGCAGAGGAGGCGTTAGTGACCTTCTCACTGCTTTCCTACTCACTGTTGAGGAGGTTCACACACTGGATGCCTGTGGGGGCCACACTCAGCTTTACTCTCAAGTCCTGCCCAAAACTCCAACTGAGGAGAGCATACAAGCGAGCTTGGTGTGGCTGTTTTACTGTGTATACACTTGACTCAATGGTGGAGAAACAATTCACACCCACGGAGAAATATCTTTTATTTATTTCATCAACTTCCTTTGAAATGACATTAATCATCATTCCTTTATGCAGAGGAAAAAATAACTCTTAAAGGTTGTTCTAAAAATAAACAACATTCTTTATAATTCATCAATAGCTGTGAATTAATGTGTCTGAAACAGCAATAAATGTAACAGGTGAAAACCGGGCGGAATCCCCTGATGTAAGCCATAGTGCTCCCGGAGAGCCTGTGTTTACAGTTTCTTTCAGTAACAAGGGTGCTTAATGATTCCTAAATAAGCCATGCATTACTGCAGCATCTGGGAAAACAAACAAACAAACAGGAGAAGAAGTATGCTTCTGAAGAACATTTATCAGAAACATCTAAAAATTAAAAAAAAAAAAAAAAATCCTAACACTTCCTTCTTTTACCAAAGAAGAGGATTTTGTGACTCTAGGCCTCAAACACATTACTGAAGCCTTCCTGACATTAAGAGATTTT